ATGATGGGGTTGAGGTCAGGCATGGCGCTTTGGCCCTCAGGCAGCTTGGAGCTGCAGCTGCTCACTGTAAGCTTGTTCCTAAGGTGGCGAATTTCATGAAAGTTTTGTGCAGCCAAGAAATTTATAGGTGGGCACTTCACGTAAAAAAACTATTTTTTTTTGCATTATTAGGCTTAAATTTTTTAGACTACTCTCGTTTACTGTACGAGTGGTGCTTGTATTTCAGGTATGCGTTGATGGAAATGGGGTTGGATTTTCCCGACCTTCCGTTGGGTATGGTCACTGATATACACTTGAAAAGATGTAAGCCCGAATGTTGGTTTGATCTCATTTTTCTCATTTGGTGATATTTAAGTTGTAATTTTTCAGCAATGTGGTGAAAAATGTAGGTGAAGAGGTTCTCCTGGAATTCGTTAAGAAGCTGACGGAGACAAATGAGACGGGGCTGAAGGAGGCGGCTTTGTGGTCCGATTTCAGCCAGCGTGTTTTTACGCTTATGCCCTCGACCAGACCTTATGTGTTCCGCGATTTTAGCGATATAGCTGACCATGTGAGTAATTTTTCTCTTAAAAAGAGATAATTATATGATGTGATAATGAAAACAAAATGGAACATTTTTAATAAGAAATGATTTTTGCAGGGTGTGGCTGCATTTGAGACTGTTCGTGATATAAATGTGGCTTCGCGTTTGATTGGTGACATGTCGGGTGCTACTTTAGATGACCCATTGTCTGATAGGTACAAGAATTTGGGGTGCACTATTAATCCTGTAGACAAAGAAGCAGACGATTACAAGATGATAGCCAAATACTTGGAGAAAACATACGAGCCTGTCAAAGTTGGAGAAATCGTACGGTTTTTCATCACATTCGCACATATGTTCATGTTGGATCATTTATATTGATTTTTACTTCGTTTTTTTTTTTTTAATTATTTTTACCTCAGAGTTATGGGGTGATGATTGATGATGTATTTGCTGTGGAAGTAAGTGCGGGCCCATCTCTCGAAGAGATCAAGAAGCTGCCAAACAAAGTGCTGCTTTGGTGTGGTGAGTATTGACTAGTAAGCTCTGTCAATTTTTTCCTGTTCCAGTTTAAAAGTTTCAATAAATGACTAATGGTTAATGGCTGGTCTATTTCAGGCACTCGGACTTCGAATCTTTTGCGGCATCTGAAAAAGGGGTTCTTGCCTGCTACATGTTTTCTCCCAGTACCTGGTTACATGGTTAAGATAAAAGACATCTTCGATCATTATTATTACTACTACTACTACACTTGTATTGTTACTGTTATAATAATAATAATTTTTTTATTTATTTATTTTTTCCCAATAGTTCGGGAAGGCCATAGTTTGCTCAGATGCAGCTGCTGAGGCTGCTAAGTATGGTTTTACGGCCATTGATCGTCCGGAAGGTTTTATGATCTTGGCTGTTGCATCCCTTGGTGAAAACATTACTCAACTCACAAGCCCTCCTGAGGTAAATATTTATGCAAATCATAATTTTGTTCAAATTGTACTTGGGCTTTTTTCAGGCTTACATTGTTGCTTTTACTCTCATAGGATGCTAGTTCACTGGAAGAGAAGAAAATGGGTGTGATTGGTCTCGGAAGGAAGAAAACGGACGAGTCTGAGCATTTTAATTGGAAAGGTGATATAAAGGTGCCCTGTGGAAAACTCATCCCCTCAGAGCATAAAGATAGTCCTCTGGAGTACAATGAGTATGCAGTTTATGACCCAAAGCAGGTAATGCTGTGAATTTTAGCTAGTACTGCGATGTATAGTTACTTTGTGTTCATTATCTCAATATGTTTTTTCGGGTTATTGGATTTTTTGTTTTGCAGGTGAGTATAAGGTTCCTGGTGGCAGTGAAGTTTGAGGAGAAGGATGTGGTGTACGACACTGCTGAGTAGGTGAAGAAAAGGCAGAGTCGAATTGCCTTAAGCTTTGCTTGGGTGGAAAAAGGCATGACATAAGATGAAGCTTGTTTTTGATGATTTGCGTACAAAGAATGGTGTTGGTAGGGTTTTTTTCTGTTTTGTTGTGAATAGCTGCGTATTTTGGTATGATTCGATGTGTGGATATATGTATGATGACATGTTTTTGGCTGCTGTGAATACCTTGTCATCAGAAAACCAAACAATGGTCAACTATGGGTCATGTAATGTTTTTAAGTAGGTGACTCTACATTTTCACGCTTGGGTTAATGTTCGTCTTGCTATCTTTCTCTGCTGATATATTCGCTTGTTAATAAGATGAAACGTCCTTTCGTCTTCTCAGCATATACATTTTTAAGCAAGATCTGAAAATTTTGAAGGGATGTGGTTATAATGAGATGATCTTTCTCCTCAACTTTTGTTCTAGTATCTTGGGGTTTTCGGTTAGCAACTGGGTAGCTGCTAACTGGGAAAAATAGCTCATTTAGCTAATTTCGCACAAGCCTTATCAACAACATGCAACAGAGACGCATGCAATTAAAGGACAGAGTAAAGCCAATGCAACTCAAAAGAACAAAAATTGAGAAAATGTCCAAGTAAACACACTTCTATCAGGGATGGTGAGAAAATCAGAACAGATTTGGCATATAGACAAAACATTTGAACCAATGCAACTCAGAAGAACAAAAATTGTGAAAAAATTCCAAGTAAACTAAACACACTTCTTCAGGAATGCAACTCAAAGGAACAAAAACTCTGAAAAAGGTCCAAAGTAAACTAAACACACTTCTACAGGGATGGTGTGAGAAAATCATAACAGATATTGGGATGAAGACAAAACAGTTGAAGACAAACAGAACTTGTGATTCTTCAAACATCTGTTTCAATTTACAATTACAACCAGACGAGCCAATTAAAACACTAGGGAGCTAACAAAAAAAGTAAGCTCTTTTTCAATCGATTCACACTCACATACATGTCATACAACATAAAGAACTCATACAAAAACCTCTATCCATGAAACAAATCTAATCACAAACCAACCCAATAACTAGCAGAGTATCTCTTGTCAGTGGTACATTACCACAGGAGGGAACTTAAATTTATCCGAGACAAACGGTATTTCCCACGGCCTCCCAACCAAATTACGGTAAAAATCGTATTCCGCCTCATAATCGTGCAAGGAAAGCTCCACCTTCTGATTCGTGTGGTAATGGTGCCTAACAAACTCAGATTTTCCAAACCCGAAAATGCTAACCCTCTCACAAATGCCTAACGCCAGCATAATTGCCTGCATGCCAGACGAGTAGTGAAAGTTCGCACCTTCATGAGCAGAGCTCCACTCTCCCACATCTTTCCCCGTTTTCTCAACAAATCTTTTCAGTGAATAATACTTCACAATCCTTGCACACAAAACGTCAAATTGTGGGTCTGTAATGATCAAAGGAGCCTTATGTGAAGGATTACACACCAAATAATCCAAGAAATGTGCGGGCTGACATACATACATGACAATAGGCACATTATCGCCATATGGATGGCAAAAACAACCTTCCCTACGCGCACACAAATGCAATATGTTGCTATTCACAAACGAAATATTCGTTTTTGAACCAACATTAGCCTCGAATTTTCTTGTTCTGGCATTGTTCAGACGGATAACAGCCTCATGGCTATCGATTTTCTTGCCGTACTCGCTTTTTAACAAGATCCCGCTATTTCCCACCACTGCACAGCTCTTGTAGGGCTTAATCGAGCCGTTTTTCCCATTGTGCTCGTCGATCAAGGATTTAACTTCATTCGTCAAGCCTGACAGTATATCTGGCCGGAATTTACGCTTTCTGGACCAGCCGCCCAAGTGCTTCCTGAAACTCGACCAGAGCCGGTAAAACTCCGGCGACCTGAGCTGCAAGGGAGTCCCCCTAGCCGACCTGAGGCGGAGGTTGATTTGATACTTCCCGGAAGACAAGAACGACCTCTGCCGGCCGAGGGTTCTGAAGTTCCCTTCCAGAAGGTCCTCGATCTCTTTCTTCAACCTGGGCTCCCCAATGTCGATTGCGGCGAATCTCAGAAGGGTTTCGTTGAAAACCGGTTTTTTAGGGTTCTTAACCTGCGAGGCTTCGTATCTCAGCTGGAACGAGCTTTTTTGGTGAAAAAGCAACCTTACGGTGAGCGTGGCCGCCATAGCCACGAGCAGAAGGAGGCTGTACAGGGGGAGCACGCCGCGCTTCATTGGGTTGTACATTTCGGAGAAATTAACGACGGATCCCGAGAATCTTGGCCGTCCGGCGGCGCGTGCTAGAGTTTGGGAGATATTAGTGTTATTATTATGTGGAGGGATTTGGAGGGGATGAGAATGGTTCTGTTGCGATTCATCTCGGGCAAGGAAGTGGGAAATTGAAGCACGACTGCGCGAACATTAGGATTTGAAGGGTATCTGATAAGGAAGATGATCTGTTAAGCGAATTAATTGGAGTAGTTTGCAGTGGAGTGAGCTGAAAGATGGAGTGAAATGAGAGAGGTGGGATCTGCAGAAAAAAGGTTCTACAGATTGCTTTGCGTATCAGAGGTAGATTTGGAGTGTGCAGGATTTAAAAGGAGACCTAATAAATGTGAGAAATTTGGGCAATAAACGAACTCATTGCTTAGCTAATTAGTATTGATAGTAATTGTAGACTTTGCGTGTGATTTGGGTTTTTTTTTTTAACTTTATTAATTTTGATTCACGCCACGATCAATCTTGAGTGCCGATCAAAGTAGCTGTTCTGATTAAATCGCAACTAAAGTTCAATAAATAAACAATATCATCAAAAATTGCAAAAACGGAACAGAGAGTTTAGCCTATTGCTTCTTGGGATTAAAGTCAGGCATATGAATTACTAACTAAATGTTGGCTGATCTTAGTTGTCCTTATAATTACGACAACAGACATCTCGAATTTATCTTGCGGATCTGGAAAATGGGGCGCACTGCCGACAAATCTATAGACGGGTAGGTTTGTTAGCAAAATCAAACTCCATAAATACCATATACATTGCAAGTTGCAATGGGCTTCTTGGGAAGTGAGACATCATATGTTTGGATACAAAAAATTTCTCAACTGCGCCCTCCCATTTACTCTTTTGTCTTTAACCTTTTTTCAGACTCTATCTCTCTAAACTTTCTATCTCTCTAAATTCTCGAACTTTCAACGAGCGATTCGAGCACCGAAAAAAATCCGAAAAAATGTCGAAAAAATCCTACGGCTTCGGCAAAGGACTCTTCTCTAACAAGATAATTTTTTTTTTTGTACGCCGGAAATATTTTTAAAATTTTTATTTTAAATCTGACCGGCCGTCGTTTCCGGACGGCCGCCGTCCGTCCGGTCGTCGGTTCCGGACGGACGAAAAACCGTCCGATCGTCGATTTCGGACGGCCGAAAAACGGTCCGGAATCGCCGGCCGATCACGAGCCGGCCGGACAGTTTTCGATTTTTTTTTATAATAATTATAATAATAATAATTATAAATAATTCTAATTAAAATAATAATAAAATAATAATAATTATATATTATGATAATAATTATTAAATATTATAATAATAATAAGTTGAATAAATTGTAACTAATTATAAATTCTAAAAATAATATTAATAATATTAATAATTATAAATTATAAATTCTTATAATAATAATATTATAAGAAATAATAATAATAATTTGTAATGATAATTATAATTAAATATAATAATAATTATAAATTAGTATTAATTATAATAATTTAAATAAAAAATTATAATAACTATTATAAATCTCAACAATTATAATTATAATAATAATGAATAAAATTTATATATTAAAATAAAAATGAATTATAATCTATTGTAATAGTTATTAGAATAGTCATTACATATAGAAAAATTTAATAATTATATTTCTGATTCAGGGTGTTAGCAGACCTGGACAATCTAATGCCAGGGACGACGACGAGGCGTTCGATGACTATTATGATGGTTCTGACACCCGACACACTAGAAGTCGGGGTGTCAATGCGTCCGTTCGTCGGGAGAGGGACATGGAAAGGCAGGCGATGATCGATGAGGCTCGAAGGGTACAGATTCGTCAGGCTAGGCAGAGTTCGAGACCCCCCGCACCAGTGCGAGATGGTCCGCAGGGATATCATTTTGAGGGTCAGCCAGATAGTTCGCGACCCCACAGAGTCCTCCCGTACGGCGAGCATGGATTTTATTATCCTGACCAGGCGGGCAGTTCGATGCCCCGGCACCAGGACCGTACGATCAGCCGGGATATGCTTTTTCCCGCTACGCAGGGAAATCGATACCCCCCCGCGCACGCGTACCATTACCTTATGGTCAGCAGGGGTATGCTGATGAGTCGTACGGCGAGAGGGAGCAGGGTCCAGAGGAGTATGACTCGGAGAGAAGTATGACTCGGACGACTCCTCAGATGATCAGGACCACGTACAACCTACGGGTCCTAGCCACCCTCGTCCTCCTGTACAGCCTGTTCATCCGGTACAGCCGGTTCTACAGCATGTTCGTCCGGTACAGGCTGTTCGTCCTACACAGGCTGCTCCTCAACGACAGGCTGGGGGGCGTTTTGGCCCATCTGCATCCTCATCAGGTAAATAATTTACGTATTTATTGTTGTTTAACATAAATTATTTTCACTTAATCATAACAAATTATCGGTACTGTTAGAAAAGTATTATCGGCATGCTCCGCAACTACGGTATAATTATTTTGTAATTTAGAGGAACCATACAATTAATTAGTTAGAAAATTATTATAATTATTTTTATTATTGTTATAATCAATTAGTAGTAATGTTACATAATAAATTAGTTTAATATTTTCATTATATTTTATTAATGTAAAATGTAACGTTTGTACATTAACTGAAAAAAAAAAAGAACGGGAAACTTATGAAATATGTTTTATTAAATATATTTTATTTAATGCATCTGCCAGCATGTATATATAAACAGATGAATCAAGCATATCTGTGGCACCTTAGACTTGGGCACATCAACCTTAGGAGGATTCAAAAGTTAGTGGCCAGTGGACATCTCGGTCCATTGGAAGAGCACTATCCAACTTGCGAATCCTGTCTGGAAGGTAAGATGGCCAAGTGGCCGTTTACGGCAAAGGGGTATAGGAGCCAAAAAGTGCTAAGATTGATTCATTCTGATTTGTGTGGTCCTATGTCGATCCAGGCTAGAGGAGGTTTCGAGTACTATGTGTCTTTCATAGATGATTACTCGAGATTTGGGTACGTTTATCTGTTGCACCGCAAGTCCGAATGCTTTGAGAAATTCAAGGAGTATCGGGCAGTTGTGGAGAAGCTTCATGGTAAATGTATCAAGTCACTTCGTTCTGATCGAGGTGGCGAATACCTCTTTGGAGTGTTCAGGACATACTTATCGGAAGCTGGGATTGAATCCCAACTGACTGCACCCAGAATGCCCTAGCAGAACGGGGTTGCAGAGCGAAGAAATAGGACTCTTATGGAGATGGTTAGATCTATGATGAGTTATTCGCGGTTACCAGATTCGTTTTGGGGAATGGCGCTGGAAACAGCATCGTAGATTCTGAACTTGGTTCCATCGAAGTCAGTTGATACTATTCCTTACGAATTGTGGAAACGGCGCAGGCCAGGCTTTTCAAATATTCGGGTATGGGGTAGTCCTGCACACGTTTTAGTGCAGGAACCTAGCAAATTGGAAAAACGTTCGGAAGCACGAGTTATTGTAGGTTATCCCAGGGAAACGAAAGGTGGATTATTTTATAGTCCCGGGGATCAGAAGGTGATCGTTTCGACGAACGCTAGATTCTTGGAAGAAGACTATATTACGAATCATAAGCCCGCGAGTAGATTAGTCTTAGAGGAGTTAAGGGGTGAAGTTGATGGTGTTAGAGTAGGGTACCCGGCGTTCCAATCTAATTGGACGTATTCTACTTGTAAATACAGTCTATTGGAATTATATTATGAATAAGGCATTTCTTTATCTTAAGAGAAAGCATTTATCTTATAATTGCACTTAAGATAAATTCCCTAGATCACTTGTGGTTATAAGGTATGGTTGCGCATAGAGATGGTGATCATGGAACATACATTGAAAGCCGTGATCTTAAATACAGTTCCAAGTCGATGGATGTTTCGAGATGGGATATCGAATAATCCATAAAAGATTTGCACATAGTTTATATGCTTGTTGGACAAGAATTTTGCATTCCATCAACATTAGCGTAAGACGTAAGTACATTTATGTGGGTGCTTGTTAGAGAACAAGTTCACTGAACATGACCGTATGAAAATTCTTAATGAAGAATTTATTCAGTCGAATAAGAATTTTCATGTTACAATAGTACATGACTAATCCTAAGACTTGAGGCACAATGGTAACTTTGTGCATATTACATTCTACTTTGATTTATCCTTTTGGTAGCTAGCACTATCGTTTAAAGGGATAAGTTGGGTATTATGTTAATATGTATGGAAGTTTGTTAGTGGCCAATAAAGGATTCGACACTTATGAAGATAAGTGAATTTCCTATGTGTTTCATAGTTATTAATCCAAAGTCCTTGGCCAAGGCAGAGATGAATAGTGATTCATAACCGGGTTAATAAACATGAAATAGAATCATAGTTATTAAGTCAATTTGGGTTTCGACAAAATCATACCCAAGACTTAATCGGGAAATTAGATGTCGAAAGGATTTTACATGTATGGAGTTGTAATCGGAATAGGTTTACTCGCTATTCACTTAATACTAGATTCATGCTACTTGCTAGGTGTTACCATGATATGTGGGTTCATAAATTAAAGGGTTAATTCATGAATAAGAGTTAATAAGATTTAACTCAAATTACAAAGTGTTGTAAACCCACTACTAGTATTAAGGTGAACCTAAAAGGTCACACTAATTATGAACAAAGGTAAAGATTGTATTTCTAATGGTTAGAATTAATTGATAAATATCTAATTTGATTAGATATCAATTAAAGGAATATATTAATCAATAAGATTGATTAATTACATTTTGGATATTACTTTAGTAATTAAGGTAATTACTAAATTAATAAAGTTGAATTTTAAAATAGGATTTTAAATTTCAAAAATCCAAAATAATAATAATATGATTATTATAATATTGGGAAAATGATATAATAATAAAGTCTTGAGAAAGATTCTCAAGATTTATTATCCAATTATTATTTATATCTTTAAATATGATTTAAGGATTAAAATAATAAATATGATTATAATAAAATGGTTGTTGATGGTTGTTTGAACTACTTAACATATCTTATTATTTTCAAAGTCAAAAGTTAGTAAATACTATTTAAATAAAATTTGATTTTATTTAATATTACTAAATGTTGATTATTTTATGCTAAAATGTTTAGTATAAATATATGCAAAATGGT